GGGAAAAAACAGTAAGTTCCAGGGGGGTGGGGTGCTATGTCACAATCACTAAAATGACTTTTTAGATGATATAGTGCTGGAATATTAAGAGTATATCACTCTGTGATATACATTTGGTTCTTCTCCTAGTGTGGTATAGTAAAAAGGCCATTGAACGGAGTAACAGAAGACTTGGGTGCTGGGTTCAGTTTATCCATAACTTAAAAGTGAAATTGAGTAGTAACTGATCTTTTCTTGGCTTCAATTTATTTGTATTAATATAATCAGGAAGTTAGATATCACTTAATTTCCTCTTGAGGATAACATTCTAAGAAACTCTTACTTTTTTTCTCTTTTTATCACTGTCTGGAGTCCAGCATCAATCTTTGGACAGCTAGCTTGATTTGTTTCACTTTTTTATTTTCTAAAAATCACGGAAGCTTGAGCTACAAGTTCATGTGTTGGATTTTAACTTTTTTATTAGATGTGGATAAAAAAGCAGTGGTGAAGAGATTGTAATTTCTAGTGGAGAATATAGTTTTACTTGTACTTACCCCGCCTTCTTCATTGCTGGCTGGTGGGCGTCCATAACCTGGTGGCGGTAACCTCTGAGAAGTGAAAAACACAGTGAACACAGGAGAAAACCACTTTCGATGCTGCCATTTGTAAGACTCAGGGTGTCTAAAAATAGCTCAAGTCAGTGATCGAGCTCAGTTAGTACTCTGAGCTTTTAGCTTTTGAATTATTAGCTCTCACAGTCCAGCTGCTAAGAATTATGATCTAACAGTGAACACTGGTAAATACAAAGGCTTCAGCTGGATCCCAGATTATCCTACTTAAAATACTCTGTATGGCTGCATCTCCTGGCAATCCTCCTTACCACCTCTAACACTCAAAACATACCCTCCACAACCCCCAACAAACACACACCATGCACACACATACAGAGAGAGAGAAATTTGAGTGCTGTTAGAATCCAAGCATCCATATTAGAGCATCTAATAATAGAGATTAAGTAACAATGTTGTTTTTAGAATGTGGCTTCATGTTTAGGGAGACAAACTGCAAACTGACAATCCTTGGATTATTACTATGATATTTTTATTTGACTAAAGTTAATTCTCCTAATCAAATTTGGAGGCCGAGTTTCTGCCTCTCAAGTTTTATGTAGATGAGATTAATAGTTACTTCAGCATTACAATCATGTTTATCTGTTTTTAAAATCTTTACTTTATACTGCCTTAATTTCCTTAGTTCAGCATAGGTAGTAAAAGAAAGTCACTCTTTCAAGGAGGAAAAATGTAAGGAACTCTTACTCTTTAAAATGAATTGTTCCTCATTGATAAAAAGCCTTCCTGGTTATAGAGTTGTAGACAAGGAAAACCTATGTCATAGCTGAATGAACAGTCAACAAATATTTCCTGTTATTTTGTTTGTTTAGCAGTAACTCGTCGTTAATATTTCTTTAGTTCAAAAAGTTTATTTTGCCATTCATATTTTTAATGCCTATGATGCAATTTCAGTGTTATCTTTTATTTTAATGATTTTAAACGTTTAAGATTCTTTGAGGCTTTTTGTAAATAATATTTTGCAAGTTTTTTTTTTTTTTTTGAGACGGGGTCTCGCTCTGTCACCTAGGCTGGAGTGCAATGGCACGATCTCAGCTCACTGAAACCTCTGCTTCCTGGGCTCAAGTGAGCCTCCTCCCTCAGCCTCCAAATATCTGGCATTACAGGTACCTGCCATCACACCCAGTTAATTTTTGTATTTTTAGTAGAGACGAGGTTTCACCTTGTTGGTCAGGCTGGTCTTGAACTCCTGACCTCAGGTGATCCGCCTGCCTGGGCTTCCCAAAGTGCTGGGATTACAAGCATGCACCACCATGCCTGGCAAATTTTTGTATTTTTTGTAGAGAC